TCCCGAGGGAGGACCCCAAAGCGGACATCAGGGTACTATACAATCAATGGCCAGAGATTGTTACAGAAATCATATTACAAAAGTCATATCAGAGCAAAACATATCATGTTATCAAATAACTCTATATGAATGCATCTATACAAAGCATCTAAATAACAGTCATACAGTCCAACCATAGTTCACTAACCATGGTGGAGCACTCAAGCAGGAAAAAACTCCTTAAACATAGAGCTTACCTCTTGAAGCTTTACCAATACCCTTACTTGTTGCACAAGTTACTTAAATATCTTCAAGAGATTCTGATTCCTTTTTAGTCCCTAGGTACACCTAGAGCAAGAATCCACAAATACCAATTAATAAAATGCCATCATGCCTAGCTTTCACATAAGGCATACATTTCATCGCTTCTTTTCATTTCTTTGCATTTTTGCCAATCCTATGCCAATACACAAGTCTAGACCTCTTTATAACCGTTGGTGTTCTTTAATTTAATCACCCATTCCCTTAGGAATTTTCAACATAAATCATGCTATTTTTCTTCAAAACTCATCACTTTTATACAATTTATTACAACACATTTTATTTAAAATAAAATGTACAAATATAACCCTAAATACCCTATAGGTCGAATCCTATAAGGGAATTTCCAAAGATCCATCTCTTTTACAATACATTTTCTTTACTTCCTTACAACTTGCAAACACCTAGGCATGCATCCACTAGGTTCCTATTTTGAGTTTAGACACCAAGTCCTTTTTACTTGGGCATTCTTACTAACTCATCCATTTTCACTCATTTCCAACACATTATACCTTCACAATACATAATATAATTTTTTCCACAAGACCCCTACTCCCACCATGAAGGCCGAACCTAGGAGGAAAAATACAATAGGACTTTTCAATTATTTTATCACATGTGGATGCTTACTCAACACTATAACTTCCTAAATAACAATAATCCATAATAATTTTCACATTCTATACTACTTTATTTCCTACCCAACCATGCTCATGACTTTCAAAACATTATTCACAATAATAAAGCCATAGGGTTAGAGTTTTGTTACCTCCAATGAACTACCCAAAGCCTAGAAGGCCTTCACCAAGCAAAGCTCCCTCCAAAAATCCATTTTTCCTTCTTGGTGAATAGTAGCTCGAATTTGGGGAAGAGAAAAATTCACACACTCAACAATAGCTCAAATTGATGGGTGGAATGGGTTCATTGGGTGGTTTACAAGCAATCTCATGTGGTGGACTTTGTGTTTTGGTCGAAAATTGATGGAGAAATCAAGCAAAATCAAGCCAAAACCCTAACCCCCCTTTTAGGTGATGAAGAGCTCGGTTTTTTTGAGGGAAGGGAGGAGAGAGAAGCTGAGGTGAATAGTGATCTTAAGTCACTTAAGGTCCTTATAAGCACATGTGGCTTTTAACAGATGTTTTCTTTCGCGTATGTTCACTTAAACTGACCCAAAACCAACTTAAAGCTACAAACATATTTTTATTTTTCTAAAATCATTTATATTAATTTTTATTTTCTAAGGAACAATATTTATAATTCACAATATGATTTTTGCACCGTTTTTAACGAAATGCACTGTGAACCATTAACTGTACTTTATTTATTTCTGAAACTTAACACTTATAAACTTATCATTTTCTTGGGCATATATTGACTTTCTTGGCATATATTGGACTTTCTTATTCTTACTTCATCAATTATTTGTTTCTGGACTCTACCGGTTGCTTACACAGCAGTACAAAATACCCGGTAAAAACACTATTCACGAGATTTTCACGGAAAGTGCCAGACTATACAATTTTTCGTTCTGAACTCATATTTGTCGTCAGAATTATCAAATTATGTCTCTAAAATTATTTTGCTCTTTTAAGCTCTACCGGTTAATTCACAAAACTGTGAATTCTCCGGCAGAACGCACTGTTCATAACATAGTCATGATTACAGTCAAAATACTCGGAATCACTCACTGAATCTAATTATGGCATTTAAAGCCTTAAATTAAATCTCTAATTAAAATTTACCATTTAGGGTCATTATACCTCACACAACCACGCCTACTCCACACACACTCCATGTAGAGGGTGGAGCGAGTAACAATGAGGCTAGTCACCATTCTTGTGGTCATAGTCATCACGCTGAGGTTCGTCGACCACACGTAGAACACGTTGATGAACATAAAGCCGAAGAAAGGCGATTGATGGCTTTCAGAAAACATAAACCTCCTTCTTTTAGTGGAGGCTACAACATGTTGGTGGCGGCAGAATGGCTTCAGGCCATGGAGAAGATCTTCAAGGTGATGAGATGCCCTGATCCGCTGAAGTTGGTCTATTTCGTCTATATGCTTGAAGGTGAGGCGGAAGATTGGTGGGCAAATACCGTCCAACCCTTAAAGGTTGAGGGCCAGGAGATTACCTAGCGATTGTTTGAGACCTTATTCTTGAACAATTACTTCCCTAGGGAGGCTAGGGAAAGGAAGCAAAATGAGCATAATGACTTGAAGCAAGGGTCGATGACAATTGACTAATATTTCACCAAGTTCAATGAATTGGTGAAGTATGTTAACTATGGAAGAGCTTTACCTACTCCGACTGAGATGACCTCCAAATTTCAGTGGAGTCTAAATGAGAAGATGTCTCGGAAGATGTCCAATTGTTACATTAGAGACTTTAGCAAGTTTGTGAATCAATGTAGGAAGGTGGAAGAAGTGTATAGTGTTCCTAAGATCAATAAGTCTTCTGAGGCACAAGCGTCTGGTGCTAGTAGGCTTTACTTCAGAAAAGAATAAGAAAATGGATGACAAGAATGGAAAGAAGAAATTACAAGCGAGACAATCGGAGGAAAAGTTTAAGAGAAACGGTAGCCAACAGAGTTGGGACAACGAAAGACCTCCTGTGCCCAAGTGTGACAAGTGTGGCAGACATCACAAGGGTGTTTGTTTGCTAGGCCAAAACGTATGTTTCAAGTGTGTACACCTGGTCACTATGCGAGGGATTGTCCCCAAATCGTGGGACGGGTTGCTCATGTGCAAGTGGTCTCTGATCCTCTTGCAACGGCACATGTTAGCACTTCAACCCAACCCCATCTAGAGAGGTTCCCATGCTTGACGGAAGGTACGACACATGTAGATTAATATGACCTGCATAGTTTATTGAGGTTGGAATCACACATGCTTAAGCTGTGGACTCAATTATGATTGTGTGATTAGTTATGTCTAGTAATCAAAGACTAGACCATGTATCGATTGATAAAAGATTGTAAGTTGTATGCAATGACTTTCCTTGAGGCTTAATGTCAAAGAGATATAGTTGAAATCTCTTGAGAGTATTGCGAGTATGACCTTTCCATGGTTGTGGTAGTATTACCTCCATGAGGATAGTATCCTATGAGATAGATAATTCTCATGAAAGGTTCAGGGAAACTTCCCTTGGAGTTAGCCTTCGAGACCTCTTTGTGGTCAGACACTTAAGAGAAACAGCCTTTATCGGATCTCTCTTGGAAGTTCCATCAGATGAGATTTTATGTATAAGGTTGTTCACAGGAAGTCAGGAACGTGGAAAGTCAGGGTTAAATACTAAGTGAATAGGTATGACCCTTGAGGAAAGTGAAAGATAGAAGCCATTGAATGTGATAGTGGAAAATAATTATAACAATGAAAACTAAATCACAAACTAAAAGTTTGCATTTTATGACGAGATGATGAAGGAAAGATGAAGTAATGAACGGGGTAACTTCGGGAACACAAGAAGAGTTCTCCGATAAATTCGTAGTTGATTCAATGAGTGGTTTTGTCAATTTTGAGGACAAAATCGCTAAGAAGATGGGGTGAATATAATACCCCTAACTTAAGAATTTAATTAATTACCTGTAATTAAGTAATTAAGCATGTATAAGTGGGTAGAATTAAGTAAGAGACTAAAGGTATTTTTGAGGTCAAAAGTGCACTCAGTAAGAATTAAGGAGTGTTACAATATTGCCCTTCAAGGACGACGAATTAAGGTTTCTGATGTCCTTTTATGACTCTAGAATAAGGTAGCTCAACTCATACACTTTAGGTGGTTGTATATGCAAGAAAGTCAGCAATGATCTTGTTTAGGAACAACTAGGTACTATAAGAGGAGTAGCGATACTTGTAGATACCTTTGTCTTCAAACTCCTGTCAGACAATGAGGTGCACAGATGCAAAGATGTTGTGTCTAAGTACTAGCATGGAAGTTAGTAAGAGTATTATTGGGGGATTTGTAGGTGCAAGTACAGTTTTTCTTTTCTAATCTATTATCTTGAGATAGACTCTTGTTTGTCCTTGAGGGGCTCAGGGCCAATGCCCAGGATTTCACTCGTTCAAGGATACTGTGATCCCCGAAGGCATAAAGTAAAAAACAAACACATTACCAGGCTCCCAGTTTTAATCAACCACGATAGCATTAAAAAAAGTACCGGCTAGTAGAACATAAAGGTGTACAGTCCCTAAGTCTCGATTATCAAAAGAGAAATGAGGAACATCCACCAAAGTGCCACTTTTTGGCAAATTTTTTACTCAAATGCCACGCGAACAGTACTTTTTACCAAACTGCCACGCGACGTAATTCGCTACGACTGGTAGCGAATTACGTTCGCTAATGATTTTATGACACGTAACATATTTTTGTAGAAAAAAGCTGACTGGACGTAATTCGCTACTAGTGGTAGCGAATTTGGTACGCAATATGGCCACGTATCACAAAATCATTGGTGAACGTAATTCGCTACCAGTCGTAGCAAATTGCGTCGCGTGGCAGTCTGGTAAAAAGTACTGTTAGCGTGGCATTTGAATAAAATTTTTGTCAAACAGTGGCACTTTGGTCACTGTTCCAAGAAATGATCTTTACACGGAAAGAAGTTCGTACAGACTTCACAAAAAACTAGGGAGAGCCATAGAAACAGGAAGAGAGAATATAGATGAATGTGATGAAAAGTCTGTGAATGTTAGAGGGAAATCTTCGTGTAAATAACATAACTGTTACTGGAAATGCAGCAAAAGTGTACGTAAACTAATGTTTCTGTCCACAGAATAATTTGAAAGATGAACAAAGTAGTTGAAGTTGAAGGATCATATGTATACAAGAATCAACCAGATACTGTAGCAGTCTCGTATTATAGATTATAGCATAGTACATAAATGAAAAGTAACTTTCAAACTACATTTCATTCCTATATGGAACACAATTGGATGCCCCGCTACTCCAGCAAGCGTTTGTGCTTACACCAGGCAATGGCAACTACATACAAGAATATGGTCCCTGCAGTGCTGCCACCAACGGTCCAGAGGAACTCTCTCATCCCAGCTATATTTGGATCAAATAGCTCGATATGAATATTCATGCCAAAAATACCAGCCACAACAACAAAGGCACTCACTACCAGGGTTGCCGTGGTCAACATGACTCCCATTTGGAGGAGATGGTTCTGTTTGTCATCCAGCATAATGTTGATGTAATCCTCTGTGTCATCAACGTACTCCCTCAGCTTCAACAAGACAACCAACAAATAAGTAAGTGGAAGCAATAGAGAAGTTTTCATCTATTGGGTAACTGGTAAATTATATGTATCAAACTATTATAGAAGATAGCCAAGTGACAGGGCCAGAGTTAATTAGAGTTGTTGGGCGGTTAAAGCTGTTAGAGTCTGAGAATTAGTATAAATAGCAGGAAAAGATAGAAGAGAAGATTCATATTTGATAGTTTGGAAAAAATAGAGCAGTGACTCGGTTGTAAAGAGAAACCCTTGTGAAGGGGATCTCTCCTTGTTCAATCTTTTCCAATAATAGAAGTCAAATTCTTCATTGCTATTCTTTCCTTTTCTCATATCTGCTTTACTCATGTTCAGCCCTGAAAACTTATAACTCAACTCTAGGTTCCAAACATATCGGATCAGAAATGTTAAAAGTAATAACTTTAATCTTTACTTGAAAAGGATCATAACATAAAACTACAGAACCAGGATACTTGCCCAACTCCATAGATATAATTCATCCATCTTAGTAGCCATATTCCCCAGCTTACCGACCACTTGCATAAAATAGGAGAAGTTGTTCCAAAGATTTGAAATGAGGTATCTTAAATCCTATATACTTGCTTCTTTAGCTTGAAATATCAGATGAATTCCTATCAATCCAAGGCTTCAAATACAAACCAGAAAGTGCTCTCAATAATTTATGGAAATGGAAAGAATTGCTCATTTTATGGATTCTCCCCCAACATTATATATGATAACTCTTCTAGCATCCTTTGTTTGAATATGTTTTCATTAGGCTACTTGTTGGAGTAACATACGCTAGCTACTTAGAGAGACATATAAAAAAGGATAAAGCACATAAAAAAGAAGGAATGGGATAAAATGAAGGCCCGCATACCGTGGATAACTTGTTCAATGTGCCATCGATCTGCACAAAGTATGCTTCCAAGAGCATCTCAAGCTCCTCTACATCAAGATGCTTGGTTACGGCACTGTAGGTAGTGCTAGCATGGCTGTCCCTGGTAAGTACATGGGACGCACCAAACATTTGGTCTGCAGAGTTATGAACATTTTGATGATCCGCATAACTTGCAGTGGCTCCACCAGTTTCCAAAGATATTTCTGGAGGATTATCCATATCTTCATCATCCATGTCGTTCCCATTATCATCATCATCATCATCATCATTTATGGTTGAGGCAGAAGTACTATCCAGCTGCTGTTGGACTAACTTGTCCGTGAGATACATTTCAGCCATATCTTCATCATCATCCAACAAGTGTTCTAATTCATCCCTTACCTATCAAACACAGATTCATAAGACAAAGATCCAAAATTCGCAAGAAAAAGGAAATCTCAAATTCTCAATATTGAAAAAAAAGAACAGAAAAGGGAAATACCTTTTGAACACGACCAGTAATGGCAACCAAGCGGCTCTTAATTTGACGAACGCGTTCCAAATTGAGAGTACTAATCTTTGAAGTGAGCTTATCCAAAGCTGGATGAGCCTCCTGTTCCAACGTCTTTGCCTGCCAAAAAGGAAAAAAAGAAAGAAAAACAGTTAATGGAAAATGAAGAAGGAGAAGAAGAAGAAGAAAAAGGGGGGAAGAGAGGTTCGTACCTCGTTCTCTAAGACACTGCAAGCAGCTTCAAGGCATGCCTCGAGAGCAACAAATTCAAAAGGGAGAATCTTCATGTCATCAGGATGTTGGTGTGATTGATCGAGTTTAGAGGAGTCGGAGTTAGGATGATGGTGAGCTTGGTGGTGACGACGGATCCTAGATTGGAGTTCTTGAACGAAAGGGATGACGGAGGGGTCCCTAGAATTGAGAAGGAGAACCTCGTGTGCGGTGATGATGGCTTTGATGTGTTCCAAGTTGATGACGATGGCTCTCTCACGCCCAAGAACGGTGGAAGGGTATGAGAGGAGAGGGTCAAGGATTCGCAGGTCACGTGCGGGGAGGCCTGTGCGTCTCATGATCGCGTGCTTCCCCACTTCCACTACCTGCGTTTCACCACTCCCTTCCACAACCAGCCATGCTCTCACCCCACTCCCTTTCTTCCTAATTCCACCGCCACCGCCACCTCCACCGCCACCTGTACTTGTGAATCGCTCATCGTTTCCGTTACCCTCACCCCTCATCCTCACTCGATTCGCACCTTCTCCTCCCTCGCCTCCTTCATCCCTTTTTATTTTTATATTCTTATTAATTAGTTATTACCTCATTCATTGACAATTTGACATCATTATTATTTTCCCATTTTATTTTCTATTTCTTGTCTGCGTCTACTGCTTTGTACCCTCTATATTCTCTGGATTCTCTAAGGTTGAATAAGACATGAGGTGTTGATATTATTGAAAAATCATAACCATAAATAAATAGATATATAATAATAAAAAAATATTAAAATAAATAATTATAAAATCATCATCATTAATTTTTTTTATATTATTATAATTTTTCAAAATAATCATATCGTATGAGATGCTCAATTTCTATACTCTCCTGACAGTGAACATGTTTCGTTGTGTCTCTTTTTTTCTTTTTTCTTTTCCTGTTTGACCCCGTTTGTATGAATTTTTTTAAGGAAATAGCTCCTCAATGTATTTAGGTTTTGTATATTAGTTTTAAAAAAGTTAAATATTATTATTTTTTAAGCATTCTTGACTTTAAAAAAAAAATATTGTGTAGAAGCCAATCACATCTTTCAAAATTCAATCATGACCTTGTGGGAAAATATTAAAAAAAAAACTCTGGGAAGTGAATACTTACTTTATGTAATCATTTTGCTTAGTTCTGATCCATGATTTGGTCAATACTAGGTCGACTTTTAATTCGAAAAACTTAAATTTATGTAAAAAAATTTCAATTTGACCTGACCTGATCGTATAGTATAAGTCTAATTATTAGTCTGACTTGAGTCATTTATAAAAAAATAAATGGCCTGGTCTGACCAATTAGCCTGTTAATTTTTAACTTTCAAGTAGAACCATAAATCAACTTAACAAATACTCAAATTCTGTTGTTAAAACAAAAATCACAATTTTAACATCCCAACAGAACTATGAATCACAACAACTTATCATAATATGCATTTAAGTCACTTTCAAAAGCAAAATACTCAAGCTAAATAACTTATATTTTATCAGATCCAGCAAACCAATCAATACTATGTAAATTAAAATAACTTTATGAATCCTACAAATACATCATAATACTTGTAGTAGCCAAAAACTTCTTATCATCTTCTCTCACCGGCAAATACAATTTCAAGGTTACATAAGTTGGCAAACAATTTGTAAATGTAGAAAACAAAAAACAAGATTGAAGAATACAAAGAAAATAAGATTAAGAAACAAAAAAATCTTTTTATACCTTTTATTTTTCTTCAAGCCATACTTATTACGTAGCCAACTTCCACCATATATTAAAGCTTAAATAATATCTTCAGCCAAGCTAGAACGATAAGCATAAAAAACTCTTCCCCCGACGCTAAATGTTAATTCTGATGCTAATGTAGAGATTGATGCAGATCTTATGTTCCTCCCAAATGTGGTATTGGTGGGGATCGAACTTGTCCTTCCACCACCTACTCAACTTACATGCACTAACTGAGCTATCACTATTTGGTACTACCATGAATAATATTATTTTATTTAAAATAAATAAGATGATATAGGATGACCTATAGGCTTATAGTCCGACATGTAAAGAAAAAGCTTATGTCCTGCTTACTAGATAGGCTTAATTAAAAGTCTAGGTCTGTTCTATTTGCCTATATATAGTTAGCGGAGTCTAGCCTGATATAGGTTAGGTCGTAGACTCCTGTAGGCTGGTCCGACCCACTTTCACCCCTAATCAACAAGATTGTCGAGTTCATTTTTTTCCTATATAGTAATTGAGCCCACTGATATTTTGTAAAATGTCATAATGAGATAACTTGTTTAAAATAGATTTTTTAAATAAAAATATTTATAATTTTAAGGAATACAATTTTATATCATTGTTGGCCTTGCTAAAGAGTATGCAAGATATGCGCAAGTATACGCAGCCACAATTAATATAGGGCGTATTCGAGACCCCGATATCGTTCCCACAAGGATCTTGGCGTTTTTGCTTTGAATGAAAATTATAATTGCTACTCAGAACAAAAAGTAAAATAAAATAAAATTAAAAAAACTGCTATTCTAAACTAAGTGTGAGGAAAATATTTTTGGGAAGATTTTCTTTTTAAAATAGGGATTGAGTTGATGCAGGAAGTTGAACTAATTGGAAATTAATTAAACGGGAGCATTTATATTTTTTTATGATTTTCTCTTAACTTTTAGAACAGAAAATTAGAATTTTTGATTTGAATAAAAATAAGAAGCAACAACAAGGATTGATTAAAAATAGTATTTGAAAACAAATTAGATTTCAATATCTCCTTCCCTCATTTGTTATTAAGTTGCTTGAAAGAAAAGAGTTGTTGCTTTTTCAACGGTTCCATCTTAACGAAAATACAAAATCAATCATTGTTTCACAAAATCAATTTTTTCCTATAAATAACAGATGACACATCCCTATGCATCCATTAATACAAGACCTTAAAGTATCATTTCCTTGAGTTACATGGAGGTAACTTCATGTCTGGAACCATACCCATTGAGAGATATCTCACTAACCTTTCCATGTGCTTAATGTGAGGTCTAGTGTGGGTTACTTCCCAATAATTCCACACCACTAGGAGTTGCCTATGTGTGGCCATCGCATATCAAACTCAGAATGAAAAACACAACATTAAACAAGCTGGAAGTTAAACATTTAAGCTTTAAAACATCAACTAATAATAAATGAGTTATGGATACTCTTTCATCCCAACTCTAAAAAAGTTTAGCTCATAACCATGGGGTTATGAGCATCAAAACAGTAACATAAACTTAAAATTACAAATAAAAGCATCAATAACTAATTCCTAAGGCAGCAGCAACATCATAAGATGTGCTCTGCACATACCTAAAAACAACGAAATGAAAAAAATAAAAGTTCCTAAAAATAATGAAGGAAAGAAATTCAGAAAAGAAAGATCCCTTAAGCCTTTACTCGTTGCTTTTTTGTATCTCCTCTTTCTAGCAAGCAGCAGCAACGCTCAACACTAAAAATTCGTTGCACATATGACCTTGTCCTTCATACCGATGATAACTAGGATTTTGTCTCTTTGTAAGTGTGGGTTGGTACAGGTAGTGGATTTGGGATGGATTTTTGAGCAAGAACAAAATAAAGGAAGGTTTTATGGGCTGTGGGTTTAAGGAAATCAGAATGGAAGAAATCAGAATGGAGGTTGGTTAAGCCTTGATTTGGTTATGGGTGTGGGTTAGTGTTTTAACGAACAAGAAAAGAAGAGAGGGCTAGGGTTCAGGTCATTGGTTTGGGAAGGACTGGCTAATCAACGATAGATTATTCTTTTTTTTTATCTTTCTTGACTTTCTTCAATTCACCTTCTCACTTTGTCCTTACTGTTCCTTTTTTCGTTTTTCTGTTTTGCCCTCCAATGCAAATTCTGACATGGGTTTTTAAGTTGGGCTTTGAAAATCTGAAATAAAACCAAATGTATATGTATCAGTAACCCATTAGGTTTTGTTTGGGAGTTTAGAGGGGAAGTGGATCCAAGGGGGAGGGAGGTAAAGCAAAGCAAGGAAATTGAAGGATATTTCATTTCCTTGTTTGGGAGTTAAAAAAACGGTAAGGAAGAAAAATGGAGGATTAATGAGAAATTTTTATCATTTTAACCTTTCTTTAAAAATTAATATAATTAATATATTTTTCAAATAAAATTAAATTTAAAATTTCTAACAAAATTATTTATGTACTTTTCACACTACTAAAAAATATCATATTTTCGACGAAATTTCTACGTTGCAAACGACAAAAATTCAATCGAAAAAGTATTTTTCGTTGAAAGGCGACAAAATTTTTTATCCGTCAAAATTTTATACAGAAATATATTTTCTGTCGAAATTTTAAAAATAAATTTAGTTTCTGTCAAAAGTTTTGACGAAAATAATTTTTTAAATATTTTTGACTTATTTTCGTCAAAAAAAGAATTCTGCCCAAAATTTTGACGCAATGTTTTCCGTCCAAAATTTTTTATGGAAATGTGTTGCGACAAAAATTTTGATGAAAATTTTTTTTGTCAAAAATTTTGTGAAAAATTTTATGTCGAAACTTTTGACTAAATTTAGATTTTGTAAAGAATTTTGACGGAATATTTATTCCGCCAAAATTTTTTACATAAATGTTTTTAGTTAAAAAAATTTACGGAAATATTTCTCGTAAATTTTTTTTTATAGAAATGTGTCCCTTCGAAAATTTTGATGGAAGTTTTCTACGAAAATGTGTTCCGTCGAAATTAATGTAGATTCTGTAAAGAATTTTCAAGAATTTTTTTTTCCGTCAAAATTTTTACGAAAATATTTTTCGAAATTTTATTTCGATTGAAATGTGTGATGTTAAAATTTTTAATGCAAACATTTTGCATCAAAGTTTTGACGGATATGTTTTTTTTTTTTCAAAATTTTTGAAGGAAATGATTCGAGGGAATTTAGATTTCGTAAAAAGTTTTGACAAAAAATGTTTCCTTCAGTATTTTTTATAGAAATATTTTTGGTCAAAATTTTTGCTATAAATGTGTTCCGTTGAAATTTTTTATGAAAATACTTTTCATCGAAAATTTTGATGGAAAAATTTTTCGTAAAAAAATTTGACTGAATTATTTTTCGTCAATTTTTTTTATGGAAACGTGTTTCGTCAAAAATTTTGACAGAATTATTTTTCATTGAAAAGTTTAACAGAAATGTTTCTCTCGAAAGTTTCGACAAAATTTAGTTTCTATCAAGAATTTTGACTTAATTTTTTTTTTACTAAAAATATTATGTCAGTAATTATGACAAAATCTTGTTCCGTCTGTAGTTTTGACAGAAATTTTTTTTGTCTTTATTTTTGGCGTAATATGAATTTTTTTCAAAAATTTCGTAATTATTTTCGCCGAAATTTTTTCCGTCAATTAATGTTGTCAGTATTTGAGATTTTTCTAATTGGGCCATATTAAAAATTATTCACATTTATATAGTTTTCACATTTTAATGCTAAGGTAAATAAGTAATTTTTAATATTTTCCTCCTCAAAATC